ATTCTCAGCAGAGCTAATTAGCCATGGTAGAGTGCTACTCTAATATGGCTGTGCTGGTCCTGGTACCAGAGCTAGCACTCAGATATCTTTGCCGAAGGTGGCATACATACCCTAACTGCAAGAGAAACAGACTACATTAGTTCGACAACTTACATTTTTATGTTTGTTTATTCCATTCTTTAATATTTGCTTCTAATGTTGTTATGCCAGCCATTAGGACACACATTGTAAATGTGCATTTGACACTTACCGATACATAAACATTGAACAGTAATTACCAGGCGTGAGGTACGCCTATAGCACCATACACACATTGACCAAGATATGGCACAAGCCAACTGACCCAAGCTCCAGCACTTCATGTCATCTGACACACATGTGAAATGGAACTAGAAAACACTATTCTCAAACACACTGCTTCAGAAAACATATACAGCGTATGCACCTCATTATATGGTTACGCAACACTGAATGACACCAGCACATGGCATACACAACACATGATAGATACCAGCAACACCAGACATAAGAGCCGTGTGCGAACAGACCTCACAGTGCCACACAAGTACAGCACTGACAGATACTGCAACACAATATTCACCCTACTATAATGGGCTCATTTATACTAAAGTAATACCTAGTATATGCCACATGTGGAAGTACATATATATATTCTTAAAACACTGGCATGTTTGCAGCAGACTCATGTAGACACAATGCACTGACTTTGAACAGAAGAAACACTTAAGCATCTTTGAAGATATTGTGCTTCATTTTTTGCCGCTTTTAAATTCTAATTTTATTCTTAAATACTGTATTACAAAAGCTCAATAACATGAACCATCATTAATAGCGTTCCCAACAGATATTAAAAAAATCAGACCATACTTCATAATGACTCCTCCCTGTTAAATACCTCCGAACATAATTATGAGACTCCCTTTTGTATACGTTTCTTCCAACAGCTCCTATGAGCATTTTCTAAATATACCTGAAACATAGCAAGCGTGTAACCCATAGCAGTGGTCTCATGAACCCACCCTGTTGGACTCACTAGTTTGTTTTAAGCCTTCTGATCTCACTGAGGAGTAGACCAATCTAAGGTTGGGACTGAAACCCAAATGACATCACCTTTCTGCACTCCTTTAAGTGCAAACTGGGCTAATAAGTTAGGGGGTAGGGTCTGTTAGTTGAGGAGGGATACACCATAGTCCTGGCTACTCTTTGGGACATTCTCTTCCTCTAAAGCTTCAATGGCAACTGTAATGACCACATTTTCTATCTCTTCACCCTTCAAATGTGTGGGAGATGGCCTGGATACACATGGCAAGTAAGCAATAGCAGTAAGATTGTGGGAGCTCCAAAGAACAGTATGTCTATGCAGATGCCCCAAAACAGGCAGAAATCCCAGGACTGTTGCAGATTTGAAAGCCAACTCCAGAAAGGATGTTATTTTAAGATCCCATAAGATTTGCCCAGTAATGTACCCCTTTTACAGGGGAGTTAGTTATCTTGACTCACTAGTGGGGAAGCACATCAGCTCTGCCTCAGCTGTGCAATGTGAAATCTTCAAGCAGATTAGTTCTGGTAGGAGCAGATCATGTAGACTATCCATTTGGAAGGAGAAGGGAAAACAATTTCTTTCACTGCTAAGAAGTGAAGTTGCAGTGTGAATTCAGAGTGATCCCTTGGAAAGGAATACAACTAAATGAGCTAGGTTCATCCCTGGTGAAACTCCAGTACCTTTAACGGAAATGCACGATTCATGCATTTGGCCCAATAGCTTTTTCACTGTAATATATTACAAGCAGCAGCCAAGGGACTGGGCAGCAACATAAAACCTGTTTCTGCAGTCCTTACTAATTGAAGTAAATGGGAATTTGGCCTGAGTGAAGATTGCAGGATCCGGCCCTTTGAAATGCGGTAACATTAACTCATCCACACTGCTGCAAAGCAGAGTTGCAGCTTGTTGCGAGGTTGTCCTTTCCATACACAAAAAGCGTGTGCATTTTTTGGTACTCAAACCTCAAACAGAGAGACTAATAGCTTTGGCCAGAGCTAAGCATAGCACAGGAGGGTGCTACACAAATCCCAAGGCAGCTCAGCCAACGCACCTGAATCCTGACCTGCAATACCCTTTCTATTTCAGGCCTGGACCTCTGTCTCCTAGCAGACACGGACAATGTTTTACCACTGTGCTGAACTGTGCCAAGTTACGTGGTGATCTGTGGTCTGGCATAGCGCCCACTAGAGTCTATGGTGAGACCACCAAACTCATTAGATTTGTTTCCCAAATTAGATTCAAATACAAGGCTCAGTAAGCAAAAAATGGGGGTACTACCCCCCATTCTATTTTACTTCTCTTAAGGTACAGGTATTAGATATGTTGTACTGGTTTCAGCCACACACACAAAAAAAAACATACTAAAAGACCAGAAAATGCTACATCAAAATGGAAAGGTTTTAAAACTGAAGTTCTCTGATAGGGTATTGCAGGTTAAATATAGTAACTATTTTTTTCCAGTCAGCGTGCTCTTTGCTTTCATGGTATTATGTCAAGGTTTTTGTTCCCCTCTCCTTTTAAGAAGCTTAAACAGCAAAATGCTTCAAATACTGAGATGAAACAGTTCTGGCAACCCAGTAGAAAAATTATTAGTGATTAAATGTAATTTCAAGTTTAAATAATTAAATCAGTCTGACTTCTTTCTTTATCATTTTTATTGCTAGGCAGCATGTCTTCCTATATCATCACCAGGTAGGATTTCACGACAACACAGACCCAAGGACTGTGAATACAAAGGATAGTGTTGCAGTTGGGAGATTTCTAGAACTGGATCATTGTTCCTGCCCTGAGCAGCTGCTTCCCTCCTTGACAGCATGAGAGAGACAGTGGGCCAGATTCGGCTCTCACTGACAAGGGATGACAGTATAGCTTAGGAGATTTCTTCTTTTGCTTGTCTGCTCTTCTGGTAGTCACCTGGCTTGACACTAAAGACTCCAGCACAATAGTTGCCAGAGCCATCTCAGCTTCTCTGTATTGAAAAATCGTGTAGTCTATGCTAAAACTGACATCAACTGGAAATCAACTAGAAACGGGCCCCGTCAGGGATGATGGTAGTTTGGTAATAGCCCAGATCTAGGGTCCAAGAGATGAATTCTCTTCTTTAACCTTGCTGCAAACTTCCTACATGATCCGTTGTATAAATAAATATCTAATTCCTATTAGTTACCCACCTGTCATTTATGCCTGTGAAAAATTTCTCCCTTGGTACCTCTGTGCCCCAGTTTCATCTTTATACAAGAGGGATAGTGACACGTGTCTCACAGAGATGGTTTCATTAAAGTTTACCAAGTGACTCGAGATCATTGGCTGGAAAGCATTATACACCTGCACAGTATTATTTCTGTAACAAGTTCATGGCCACTTCAAATGTCACAGTTCTCATCATGCTGTGCAACATAGCCCCTCAGGCTTTCATGGCAATATGGGGGATAGGACTCACCTCATCCTGCTCCACAGGCACTGCAGGCTACTGCCACTCAAGCTAAAAGAGTTTATTTAGCTGCCCCCAGCATACATAAACAGCTCTGATTCCATTGTGGACAGAGACATGCATACAACTTGTTCCAGGTTGTGATAGTATTCAAACCTGTAGCGTTAACAACAGAAATGCTAGCACAGTACACAGTGCAAACACTTCTTTCTTGCACTGAAAAGTCCCATAAACAGCAGTAACATCCAGAGAGTGGCTCTGGTGGCAGGTTTCTATCTCTTCCCACTCCATGGAGATTTTGTGCATATAGGCAATTCACTCAGGCTTTGTGTAGTAAGTTCTGACTCTCCAAAGAAAAAAATCCCTGGGTAAATGGAACTGTATAAAATTGCTTACCCTTATAAAGCTTCTTAGGCATTTTCTATACCCAAACAGAGGCTTCAGTCAATACCACATGGACTATGTAAGCTCCTTCCAGCTTAGTCACACAGCACTATGCAAACAAACCCACTGCTCAGAAGGGGGTTATATCCTGTTTCTTAAATAAAACTGGGAATTTAAATTAGTTGTAGGTTTTCTTTCAACCCAGGTTGAAAAAAAGACTTGCAGGAATTCTTCAGGTAAGCAAATTTCATAATGTAAAAATATAAACGCCTTTCACTGCACTAGAGATTGCTTAATTTCTAGCCATTCTTTTGAGATAAATATAAACAGTAGTATTAGATTTTTCTGACATGACAATAGTTGGAGTTATTTTCTCCCAGATGGGATCTCCCAACTCTCCATCTTGTGCATACACCCCAAATAATATCAAAATAGTTTCACAACATGTTCATCATACGGGTTTCAAAAATATCCCTTTGCACTA